ATTATTGTTAAGCCATGTTTCGCTTAATCCTATAATTTTAAATTTGGTGTTTAAAGAATCAAGTAGCTCTTTAAAGTGATCAAACTTGTTCGTAATATTCTTATATTCAGATGTACAAGAGAAAAATTACTTTTAATATTTATTTATAATATTCCTAATATTAAGCAATAAGGCTAAGTAGTCTAGCACTTAGTCTTAGTGTTATCTGTTAATACTGATGCAAAAATATGTGCACACAATGCAGGGTCTTAGCCAGGATTTGCAACTTGGGTGTCCAAATTTGAAATTTTGTTTATGACACCCAATTTTTGCTATTGCACCACTTCATGCACCAGTAATTCAAGTGATTATTCCCGAATGCTGGGAGTAATCGGTGACCGCACTCGAGAATCGCCCAAAAACTATAATAATATATTCAATTATTCAGACTAGCTATGTCACTACCACTACACTGACTACACTAGTACATGCAATTCTGCATGCTAAACACCCTTTCTGCTTCTGCATTTCCAACCATTACACACAAGCAAGTTGCCATATAGTTGAAAACTAGGCGAGTCTATTTCCTGAAAGGTCAATAAAATTTGCGTAGGTGTCACTAGCGGCGCATGCTTACTCGGATTATAAAATTACATATTACTAGCCGTTTCTAGTCATCGAAAGAAATGCAAATACATAAATTAACATAATATTTGATTGTAAGGTACTCTACAGCTTTTACGTAGCCGTCTAAATGGCGTCACCATGATAGCAAACCGTCCAAAAGCTGTCTTTTTTATAAGGCCGTCCAAATTTGAAAATAGCCATCCAAAAGACGGCTGGACGGTAGGCTGGCTAAGACCCTGACACAATGCCAACGGCAATGGGTAACTTGACTTTCCTAAATTAAACCTTACTCATAATGAACAAAGCATAAGGGAATTGACTATTTTATTCAAGTCTTCAGCTTCAACTGATCACGATGCGGAGAACATGATACACTACATATTTCGCTTGCTCAGGGTACTAGACTTGCCCAAGTCTCGCTCAAATTGGTTTTCATAGGGCTAATCAGTTTATGAGATAACCTCATTCTCAGGCTCTTTCCAAAATTCCCCACAAATGGTTTGACACATCTGCTCATTCTTTGCTAACATACCATTCACTGGTTGTTAGCTATGTACATACACATACAATATACCCTTCATATACTTAATATGTAGTGTTTTGTAGCACAATACAAAAACACTACAGCAAAAATTGAATCCTAAACCTTGCCAGGTATACTACAAAGACTATTTCCATGAAGATGCAAGAGAGTGCATTCTTAGTATTATTTCAGTTCTAGAAGCAAGAAAGATAAGAAAACAAGTCTCTGGAAGTAAACGGAAAAGAACAAGTGAGGACAAAAACCTACCTATAAAAACCCAACTATCACTATTCGATATCTTCGAATCGAAAAACAATGAAACTAAAAAGGACAGTTGTGAAAGCTCAGTTAAAGAAATTGTTCCTGGTGCTATGGGTAATAGTGACAGTGAAACATCTAGCTCTGAAGATGAGGCTCAGACTGACTGACGACTAGTTAGACCGCGAGCAGTCCCTCGAAGAAATGAGGGGCCGCCGACAACACATCAAGAAACGAAATACGCCCACTTTTCACTTATATCAAATTGGCTCTGCCTTTGCATAAACATTACTATATCCAATTAAATCTATCCAATAGGAAACCGTTAATGTCATGTTTATTTACAGGGTGTATAAAAAAAGGTAATCGAACTTCAGCGTGCTATTGTACCTGAATTACTCGGCATATGAACTTTTTTTTCATATTCGAAAAGATGAGGCTTTTAGCTGTTGAATGACATGTTTTTCATGCCAAATGGAGAAAAAATAAGCAAGTACGAGTCCGATAAAAAATGTTAGTCAGAATCGCATATTACAACGGTGAAAATATGCGATTCTGACTAGCATTTTTTATCAGACTCGTACTTGTTTATTTTTTATCCATTTGGCATGAATTCAACAGCTAAAAGCCTGATCTTTCCGAAGATGAAAAAATCTCGTTCATACGCAGTAATTCACTCGGGAAATTATTTATAGCATAATTACTATATATCAGATTTGATTGACAGGTGTATTGATTTCGACCAGTTGGAATTTTGCGTTGTGTGGGCAATGCGGTTTCATTTCTTGACTGTGTTGTCTGCAGTCCCTCCTTTCCTTTCCTTTCTCGTGCCCAGAAATCTAAACCCGCGGAAAGGAGGGACCGCTCGCAGTCTAACGACTAGTTAAAGTGTTATGTTAAAGACTTATATATTTTTTATTTATTGTTTATGTTTGTATAGACCTTGTTAAAGTTAAAGAGATGTACATTTTAATACATCTTGAGCCCCATTTACACTAGCAATTTTTTCTGATTTTTGTTCTGAACTGGTGATTCAGACTGATATGTTAATGTATAGCAATCATTCATTCAACACCATGTATTACATAAAATCGGATAATCTTTACAATATCAGTCAGAACCAGATCATGACGCCAAAGATGACTATGAAAATCACCAGTGTATGTGGGGCATTATAGTTGATGTTAATATATTCAAAGAGAAAATAATATATACAATATATACATAGATCATTGGTTATGGTTGTGAAGGCTTAATATTTGAAACTGGTCTTCCTAAAATATTAATAATTACCACAAATAATTTTGACAACCCCCCCCCCCTTCATGCTGAAAAAACTTTAAAAGCCCCCCTTCTAACCATAAATTGTTTTGGCAACCCCCCTAATTTTCCTCCAGCCCCCCTGGTCCTTAATTAATGAACAGTCCCTAAGTACATTTTGGATTGTATTTTGTTTGTATATTGTGACAATTATTGTGGGGAAAAATGAGTTATACACAGAACTAACAGAAGCAACTGAGAACGAGGCTCAAGAGATGGTGGTAATAGTTATATCGGATTTTAAGAAGCAGAAACGAAATGCAAAATCGTTGTTGACACGTTTGTTAACACACTTACCCTGTTTGTTGTCAGAAAAAACCCTATATGCCATTTATTGGTTAAAATCGATGAACAAAAAGACATTTGGTTGGACATGGTCAAGTACAAATACCTTTGAATTTATTTGCGTGGTCTGTTACTGGTCGGTGCCTACGAAGTACTGATGATCTCAAGTTGGCTGTTCCATTTGCCCGTACGGATGTTTTTAAACATTCATATTTTGTTAGAATTACAAGATTATGGAATTCTTTGCCATATACTGTTCACTCCTTAGAATCTCTTCCATCGTTAAGGAGGAACTGTTTCAACTATATTATGATCATGTTTTGCTTGCTACTCTGGTTTAAATAAATGATTACAAAGCCCAGTCGAATTTTGTAATCAAGACCCAACGTTTCGACACTCCAGTCTAGTGTCTTCATCTAAAATTGCAATTGTGGCTTCTTAAATACCGAGGGATGACGTCACCTGCCAATAAGATGCATATATTCCTCTGGCAAATAGGCACCGTCATCCATATTCAAAGCATGATGACTCATTTATATTAAAGTTTTTGACCATAACGATTGTTTTACTTTAGAGTTTTCCCACGCAATCTTGTGTTTGATGTAACATACATGTTTGGCTAAAGCTGATTTTCCCTTGTCTAAAGTTGAAACAGCCTTTTGATGTTCTTTTAGCCGTGTACCAAACTGGCAGTTAGACTGACCCAAATAGTTTTAACAGGATCTTTTGGCTTTGCGAAAATATGGCCTAAAGTCAAATAGGGTTTTAAGGCAACCTTAATACTACAATTACTTAAGATTCTCTTGATTGGTTCTGTGACACCTTGAATGTATAGAACTATTGCATAACCCTTAACAGAGGTATCACCCTCGGAGTTATTTTGGTTCCTACAAACAGGTTGTCTCAGGCAATCATTAAGAAAACGCTTTGGGTAATTGTTTTCCCCTAAAACATTTAGAACATATTCACATTCATTAGCTTGAGAATCACTGTTTGATGGCAACAATTCAGCTCTTTGAAGCAAAGTTTTTGCTATGGATCTTTTATGGCTTACTGGGTGATGAGAGTTGTATGACAAGTATTTGTCTGTGTGTGGGGGTTTGCGATAAACATCAGTCTCTAACTTCCCTTCGACATTTCTGTGCACATTTAAATCTAAAAAAGCTAAATGTCCATTTATCTCACGTTCACGGTAGAACACACACACAGACAAATACCTGTCATACGACTCTCATCACCCAGTAAGCCATAAAAGATCCGTAGCAAAAACTTTGCTTCAAAGAGCTGAATCGTTGCCATCAAACAGTGATTCTCAAGCTAATGAACGTGAATATGTTCTAAATGTTTTATGGGAAAACAATTACCCAAAGCATTTTCTTAATGATTGCCTGAGACAACCTGTTTGTAGGAACCAAAATAACTCCGAGGGTGATACCTCTGTTAAGGGTTATGCAATAGTTCCATACATTCAAGGTGTCACAGAACCAATCAAGAGAATCTTAAGTAATTGTGATATTAAGGTTGCCTTAAAACCCTATTTGACTTTAAGTCATATTTTCGCAAAGCCAAAAGATCCTGTTAAAACAAATCAGAAAACTCATGCTATATATTCTATACCATGTGGCGACTGCGAGAAAGAGTATTTGGGTCAGTCTGAATGCCAGTTTGGTATACAGAACATCAAAAGGCTGTTTTAACTTTAGACAAGGGAAAATCAGCTTTATCCGAACATGTATGTTACACCAAACACGAGATTGCATGGGAAAACTCTAAAGTAATTACCACAAACAATCGCCATGGTCAAAGACTTTGCCTAGAAGTGTGGCATATAAATATGAGTCATCATGCTTTCAATAGGGATGATGGTGCCTATTTGCCAGAGGAATATATGCATTTTATTGGCAGGTGACGTCATCCCTTCGGTATTTAAGAAGCCATGATTGCAATTTTAGATCACCCCTGATCGTGTTGACACGTTTGTTAACACAGTTACCCTGTTTGTTGTCAGAAAAACCCCTATATGCCATTTATTGGTTAAAATCGATGAACAGAAAGACATTTGTTTGGAGGTATTAGATAAGCTTGAGGAAGCATACCAGAAAAGTGGGGATAAACAAAACGCATTAAGAATAGGTGATGAATCAGACAAAGTAGCTGAGCAAGTGGATGTTGAAACACATGCCTCACATCAATTTTTGTTATCATTAGTCAAGAAATCTGTGCATTTAAAAAACAATGTTGCTAGGGCAACTGAATCTCGACCGACCAGTACACAACAGCCAGCCCAGGAAATTGTTACTGCAGAAAATATGGAAACACCCTTGTTGGAAAACGATGGAGTACAAACTGAATCGAATAGCAGTTTGCCGCTACAGACACCAAGTAAGCAGTAATATTGGACATGAACAATTATCAAGTCGAAACAACACTGCATTTGTTGAAAATGAAATTAGAACCCAGTCGCCTGAGTCGTCCAGCAGCCAATCAGAATTAAACACAACTTCACAAAGTGGAAGTGCTTGCAATGTGGATGGACATTTGGAGTGAATTCGAATTCCTATTTTTGTAGGAGATAAAATGAAGTTTCAACAATGGAATGCCGCTTTTACTAGCTGTGTAGATAAAACGTCATTGAGTCCACAGTTCAAAATGCTTAGACTAGAATCATTTTTATGAGGAGAAGCAGCTGTACAGTTAGGGGACTTGGATACTCGCAAGAAGCTTACAATGCTGCAAGGGCTAGATTGGAGAGAAAGTATGGTGGTAGTTGGAGACAGGTCCAGAGTCATTTAGAAGAATTTAAAAAGTTGAAACCATTACAAAAGGAAAATGCCAAAGCATTGGAAATCTTTGCAGATGTTTTAGAGTGGGCTGTCATCTGCCTCAAAGAGAATGGTAGACAAGCAGATCTTGAAGCAGGAACATTATACACCATTGTTCTTGAGAAGATCCCGGAGAAATTACTCTCCCAAAACTACAGATGGCTAAGAGAGAAACAAAACGAAGAATCCATGGAGACATTAAAGGATTGGTTTTCCCAAGAAGCTGAGTACCAAATTCCGGCCTCAGAAATGAAGCATGGGTTTCGGAAGATTCAAGCAGAAACAGTCAATGGAAATGGTTCCGGTCAAGGCGGACGGACCTTCTATGGAAAATCAGTTGGAGGTGCCAAGTTTGCACAGAGATCCACCCTATTTAGAAGTGTACAAAATATCGAGATTAGTTAATAGAAGACAAGTGGAAAATAAGTTAGGTTTGTGCTACCATTGCCTTGGTGACAATCACCTAGGAAATGCCTGCAAAAGAAACAGACAATGTGATATAGACGGTTGCAATGAGACTCACTACTATTTGCTTCATAGGCCAAGGGATTCCTCTAAGGCACCCAGTAAGGAGAAAGAGGACAATATGAAGGTTGAATCAGGATCTACTACGGAGGGGGATGACCAATGAAAGACATATGGAGCAACTCGAGGACAGGAAACAGAATATGTTGCTTTGCAAACAGTCCCGGTCATTGTAAAGAATGGAAACAAGAGGATTCCTGTAAACTGTCTTTTGGACGAAGGCAGTGATATGAGCTATATTAATGAAGATGTTATTGAGGCTTTGGGGTTGCATGGAGCCAAAACTGAGATTAATGGGAAAGTGGCTAATGATGAAACAGTCACTTTTATGTCATCAACATTTGATGTCGGGTTGCAAAGTACTGATGGTCATGTGGACACCACAATAACAGTGCAGTCGTCAAAGAAAATTTGTGGTATGAAACCAGTCAATTGGATAGAGATTTACAGACAATTTACTTTTCAAAACTAGTAACTGGACTACAAGTGGATATTCTCTTAGGAGCCGATCATCACGAACTGATGTGTTCAATGAAAGAAGTAGTTGGAGAGCATGGTCAACCGTCAGCAAGGCCCTGTCTACTCAGGTGGACAGCTGTTGGAAAAGTGAATGGTACTGAATCGAATGGGTCCCATCATACTGGCTTTCATCACACATATTTTTTGAATCAAAACAAGCCATCGATTTCATGTTCATCAAACAGATAGGAATCTTGATGAAATGCTTAAGGTAATTCCACAGTAATTGTTCCCGAAATGAGAATTTGCTGAAACTTCCCAGGCATGAAGTTTATGATATACTTAAAGTAAAGTAAAAACACAGAAATATTTTTTTCATATATTCTCAGACATGTAATTTTTAGGAAGTGTGGGTGTAAAAAAGTCAAATATTACGAGCTGTAGAAATGATTTTTCATAAATGTCGCAAATGACATGTAAAATTACACGAAGAACAAATTTTTAAAAAAATATATACTCACCGGCCTTTTTCGAGAGTTACATAGCTAAACATACAACACTATGCACTTTAAAAAGTTATGCACACAGGAGCCCTAGCTAAACTTTTGTAATTTTTATCTCTTATAATGCATGAAAAACAACATTTCTTCCTAACATGATTTTTTTATTTGAAGCATGCATACATAAACATTGTATTATTATAACATTATTATGATATAATTATTAATTAACACATTATTTTGCAATGGTTTTACATAACAACTTTTTATAACAAATTTGCATATTTTTGTTATTCAACTATTTAATTATGCATGACGAACGAGACTCGTGTATTGGTTGCAAACAGTTTTATTTCTCAATAGCAAACAGTGGTATTTTAATTAAACAGTGTTCTTGTCTTGTTTGCAAAAACATACAAATATTTCTTATTACCCTTTTGTTAGCAGTGACACGGCGCTTTCCTTAAAACTTTTCCATCAGCACATTTGAGACACCATCGTTTCCTTCCTGTTGATACGCCAGGAGAAAATGCCGATATTGTAATCCAGATGCTGCCATCTTATCAGCAATTCCCTTTGATACAGCTTTTGAGTGGAGCAGAGGTTGGAAGGTCTGTAGGTTTGCTCTCTTCTGTTCCAGAAATATGGTATACTCTTGGAACCATGACGTTGAAAAACTGTGCCTCAGTAGTAACTGGTCCCCAATGAACTGTGACGATAACATATGAAGCATTTGCACATCTCCAAGGGCATTATGGGCATCATATGTGCTGTCAAGCAGATCTTTAGCAAGATTTTCGTGACTGCATGACCGTCTATCAGGAAACAGTTCCCAGAGAGCAGGCAAGGTATCAGAGAACCCAACAACCATTTGGCAAAATTCTTCCATGTTGTTACACAAGCTCAGCGCTTTCATTAGATGATTTACATCGAAATTACAATTAATTACAACTTTATCAATTTCCCAACATACATATGTTAGGTATGTTATTATACGAAATATATGCTTCAATTCAAGGTAAAATTCAACCACAAATGCTTTGCAAAACGTTTTAAAGTCACTACTCACTAGTGTTCTTTATAAAACTAAACTGCCTTTTAAAATGGCTTTATCGATAATCTTTGAGTTTGAAATAAAATTATTTCAAATTCTCACTTGCAAATAACTTTGCTTTCTTTTTTCATTTAAAAAATTCAATATCGTAAAAAAGGGAATCAACATTAAAGATACACTGTAATTATATGCTGTTTTGTTTAGTTGTTTCATATATGCAAACTCAAGGCCGTCGGGTTTTAAAGCCATTATAAAATCAATATTTGAAACAAACTTACCTTCGTTAACGTTGGCTCCCTTCTTTTAGCCGATTCTTTCTCAGTTTCTTTCTGAGAGAGCTTTTGAAATTTACAAAATCTTGCAAAAATGCGAGCAAAAATGAAATATATTTGCAAGAAATTTATCAATCATCAAATCAAGAAATGTTTGCTATTTCGCTGTCGTCATGCAGTCGTTATAATGCAAACTTTAAATTGGACCAATCAGTGTCCGCTATTCATGACAGTCCGGCATACTTTTGAGATCAGTGGATGACCACCCATCTTTGGTGACCCACGCCTGTGATTATTGATGAACTTTAGACTTTGCTAATGGTTTTGTTTCCCGGGGGGATATAGCCAGGCGGAATTAGTACTCTCACATGGCGCTTCACGCCATCGGCTCGGGATTAATAAGTAAAAATATGCAGTGAAAAAAATTGTGGTGATGACTTTAAAAATTAATTTCAATCATATTTAATAATTTAAACTGATTTTATAGTCATATAGTCAAGTGCTCTAACATTTTAAGTTATTTGGTCTGTGTATCTTAAAATTTCCTTTCATTGTTTTATTAACTTTCGAAAACTGAAAAATCATGTCATGTTGTAAAATTGCATTCGGTGTGTCTCTGAAGAAAATAATTGAAGAAAATAAGAAGAAATACTCCAATGTTTGAAGATTTAGACAATAATTTAAATGTAAGTGTTCAATTGTGTCAATATTTTTAACTTTTGTGTGTAAATATGTGCCATAAATAGTAATATATTCATGTATATTTTAACCATCATGCCATTTGCTGCATGTATTTTGTATTTGGTTCAACAATATATTATTAAAATACATTAAAACTTTGTGATATTGCTTTGTATTTACAGATTATAAATTTACGCAATAAATGCTGTCATAATATGATACAAGAAGGTATAAAATACGCAGTAGATAGCAAAAAGGAAGGATTATTCACTCATACAAAGCCATAGAATTTGCTTTGGTGATTATATCAATATGAGCTCAATGAGTCAATATTGATACCCTCTTAATACATCAATACATTAACAATATAAATATGTTCTTTATAATGTATTGATGTATGGGAGGGTATCAATATTAACTCATTTAGCTAAATGTATTGATATAATCACCAAAGCAAGTACTATGCCTATTGCTTTGTATTAGAGGAGAACAATCCTTCCATTGTGTTATAAGAGTAAATATATAGCTATATTTCTATTTAATATCCAGACAACCCCTGAATGTTGCCGGTGTCACAGCGGATTTGGACCCCCAGTAGATTTGGACCCCCGGTCCAAATCGCCTAGTAGATATGGACCCCCTTAGCGGATATGGACCCTAGTCATGTCTATAGATAAAACTCTGTTCGTATTCCCCAGGATCGTCTACAAATGTTAATGTTTATCATTGTTTTGATCGCTTTGAGCTTGGAGGTCGATATGCCTTACAAAGCCATTCATCTTCATCTGGAAATGCCTCAAGATTCTCGCATTTGATGTGAAGCCATTTCCCGCACAAGTCACACTCGATCATATCATCCCATGACTCTGGCATCAGACAATGGCAAAACAACTCAATCTCACGATTGACAAACTCTTTGCAGAATTGGACAGCTTTAGACTTGGATTTTCTGGGAAATGGCGTAATGGACTGACTTGCCAAACAGTTCATCAAATGTTCACACATCTTGGATTGGTCATAACATACATTGGGGGGTCATTCCCGGCAGCAAATTCGTATGCGAACGCTATCACGAACACACCGCAATACACTTCCCTCAACTGAACAGGTGGAAGTTCTACTTCAAGCTTGTCTTGATCAATTAACGACTTGTAGCAATCAGCGAGTTTATTTCTCAGCACAAACCCTGAAACATTTTTATAGCTGCAAGGCTACTGATGAGTATCACTTATTGTTTGCTTCACTTGGCAGAGATTCGCTTCCAGTCGATCTTTGCCAAGTCGATTACACCAGTCTGTCTTTACTCTTCCCATAATGCTAAACATTCTTTCTTGCTTTGCGTTGGAAAATGGAGTTATAAGCAATAACTCGATAATATGTATGACACTTATCTTGACAAGATTCACACACTTGCAACAATTTGCAATGGTGTTCAAAGAACTTTCTCATATCTTCTCCGGTTTTCCCTGCCTTAGTTAAATAATCAACAGCACAGGGATGCTGCAAGTGTTATCCAAAGAAGTCAAGGATGAAACAAGTACTTTGGAGATGACATGTTCATTCAGAAATACTGAAGTTGGTTCTTTTTTTTCTTTGACACAAGTGACATCAACTTTTAGATTTAGGCTGATATTTTCTTTAGTTCTTGGGTCAAACTAAATAAAGGGTTTCAAGGCAGTCCCATCGTTGGCCAGCACATATGGAATAACTTTGACACATTCGATGTCTATTAATGATTCTGTTTTAGAACATCCATCAATCTACAATAGTTTAAGAAATGCTTGACTTAGACTTTTGATGACACCAGATTTGCATGTGAACCCAGCTTGCTGCTTTGAACATGTCTCATCCAACGGTCCACCAAGATTCATTTTCATAGTAGCGGGATCGTGAAAGCAGCCTCTGCACTCCGCTTGATACATTGGGCTGTGAATCATATTTGCGGTTCATTGTCCACCAAGGTAAGTAATGGTGTTGAAAAATTGAACCACTTCTTGGTCATACTTGTGTCGAGAGTCATAGAATATATTGATGATATCTTTTAGGCATTTGTAGAATATCCTGTCCTTTGAAATAACTCCTTGTCATATTAGATCATTAAGTTTGACACATAGTTGGTCAGCTTCCTCAACGTATGCCAGTTGCCACTAGGTGCCATTCTTCATTGTGATCATCAAACTACACTTCTTCTTTACTGCTAGTCATGTCCAACTCTGAAACGCATGGTTCAGGTGAGATTAATAAGGCATATCTGAGCTAAAGACTATCGGAAAATTGGAAATTAGAGCTAAAGTACTTTCTTTTGTGTTGGTGATGTTGCAGATGTACAATAGTCTCATATGATATCGCCCAAAATACCATTGTGCTTTGGATATATCAATTATACACACATTTATATTTGCACATTCTAGATGCAATTATGTACAGCATATTATACATATATCAGAAATTTTTTTGCACTGTTTGCAAAACAATTTTTTGCAGTTTGCATATTCACAAATTAATTAATCATAATGCATGTACAGTGTGAGTATAAATATGTATTCAATCCATATCAACATAGACTTTCCAGATGTTCTATATACTTCACCAAATTACAATCTTGGATGTTCAAATTCTTAAAATATAATGCTGGCCCTGACTGGTTACTGGTCCAACCACATCGAATGTGGTGATTATATAGATATATACCACAACTTACTCGCATTCCTCCCCATGATGGTGAACATCAGACAGGTCAAGGTCGGAGTCAACTTCTTCTTCTACTTGGTTAGTAACTTTGTGTGTCCCTTGGTTTTGGTCATCCTTGTCAAGGTGAACTGTCTGGACTATCCTCTTTTTTTTCCAAACTTCTCTGAAATTGTGCTCTGCTTGTGTATTTGTTTTCTTATTCTCTTGTAAGCATCAAAATTATCTATACGAGAAAATGTTTTTAATTTTGCGGTGCTCAACTATTAATTTGGGCATTGTTATAGATAATAATAAGACTAACAAAAGAACATGGCTATTATTCAAGCATACTGTAAGATTAACATTTATGGTACTTTTTGACAAATTTTACAGTAAATACTGGACAGATTTTTGGCAGACTACTTGAAAGTATAAATAGCTACATGGATTAAATAAATAGCTACCTGGATTAAAATTTTCGAACCATTTAAATATGATCAGATGGTCTTATTTGTTACATCTCTTTTACTGCAAATAAAGTGATATCCTCATTATCTCATCATTATAAGCAGTCACAATATACCAGTATATACCAGTTAAAAGCGACCAAACTTACGGGATTTGAAATATAAGTTTCTTCCCTTCATGCTTGAGTTAATCTGAAGCATGAAGGAATGACAATTGCCACACCTTTATCTTCCATGGCCAGTTCACCTTTCTCTATTTAACAGAAACTGATGCTACATCTTCTTTTACTACTTCACTGTTGGCTAATTTCTTCAATTTTAAAGAATACCAAATCAATCACACAAATTATTATAGTGGTAAAAAAATCTTGGTCATTTAGTACTCACAGCTAAGTTCAGCAAAAACTAAGCAATACCGTCAATGAGTAGTTGTTGTGTTACTCTGATTTTAGTTTAATTTCAGTTTATGCTTCTTAATTTCTTGGTTATTAACACACACAATGATCTGTGGTTAAATTCCAATCTAAATAATACATAATCCTCTCTTTTAGCTTCAAATAATTTGTAATCCTTTATAAAATACCCAAATAATCCATGATCCTAAAACCCTAACAGGGCCTCTCTAAGGAGTGGCCATCACCCTCATGAAAACATTCAAAATGACAAGATTGGCTTGGACCATCAGGGGGACGAATGTTTCGATTGTTCCAAGGAGCCTACATGACGTGGTGGCAGTTCAAAAAATGCTTGAATGAGGTGTCTCTCCTCTGCACTCACTGATGAGAAGTCCACTCAAGTCCCGAATTACTGTATCATTATTAGTGTAATTTTAAGTTTGCATTATCAACCTGCCAAATTCCTGGCAACCTGCAAAATTCCAACCTGCAACCTGCGTATAAAATATGAGATATTTTCCCCATTTAGCAATCGTGTTTCCTGAACTAATTTGGTCGTTTTGTCCCTAGACTTTCAGGACACTGCTCTCATGTGGTTGGGCTAATAAAATCACTTCAAGGTTTCAAACTTCATAATCTAACATGCATACCTGATGTGTTAAGCTGCACTAGCCTTCCCCAGCAGTGGAGTAAACCCAGGGGCTTAAAAAAAAGCCAGTGGCTGTCCAGGATGTTGTTGTTGCCAGATCATTGGAAAAGAGAAAAGGAAACCTGTGCTATGTCAGCTAGATTTAAATACAAAGTAATTTACAACAAATTTATATATTTTAACAATTTAATTTAAATTTAATATACTATTTACACTACTTAGATTAAACACAACAATATTAAAGATAGGGTACAGTTCGGTCTGAGCATGCACACATAGGAGTATCCTGCCATGATATAAACACTTTAATTAGGTTTTTATTCCATTTTATGTTCTTGCAAAGCCTGATTTATTATATGAAAATATAAAGTTCAATATTTTGATAACTGAAATGTAAACAAAGGCTCGGGTTTACATACAGACTGTACCCTGCTACCTTTAACAAATTCAAATTTTACTTATTAAGGTTACCGAAAATATCAACTGAAGAAATTGAACAACTGAAATGGTCTGGAGGGAACCCCTCTTGGATATGTGTTGGCAAGAGATCCTCCTTCCACAACACTTTAACATGAAGGCATAGTTTACAGGTACAAGCTTTCATCCATATGATTGTTTGTCACTTGCCAGATCTCACACTGAAGTATTCAAATGACATTGGGTTTTTAAATTTCAACTTGTCCTTTTCCTTTTTAGAGTCTTTAAGAAAAGTTAATAATTGTGGTTGGCAAGTATAAAAGATGTGGTTTTCAATCCCTCCTGAAGATGTATCTTTGTTTTCATGCAGTGTTGCATCTACTCTTGCAATATAATGGTCAACTGCTGCAGACATGTTAGCTGTGTATACCTCTTAATTTAACCCACCGTCTTTGCCATATGCAGACCTACACAAAGTTGATGGTATGAACGTGTTGAGTGACCTTGACTGAGGCAACCATTTTGTAGCTCCACACGATTAAGGAAGCTGTCTCTGCTACATCTGGTCATAACCAAAGTGCGAAACCATGACCAGCCGACAATTTAAAGTAAAAAAAATTCTGAAAGGGCAAGACATATTGAGAATTCAATATATGATTCAAAACAATGAGACTGTAAATTTTCAACTTTATTTCAAAGTCATCTTTGGACAGAAATACAATTCTTTACAACACACATATATATATATATATATATATATATATATATATATATATATATATATATATATATTTGCCCATATAAAGTCAAATATATTTACAATGTATACAGGGGCGGATCCAGGGGGTATCAAGTGTAGCTCAAGATACGGTCAGATTTTTCCGATTATGCATACTAAAATAGTTTTGGGGGGAAATTCAATATTAATATATTTTCACACAATTCATTTCTGTTTACAAAAATAGTGAAAATTTGAGTTTACTAAGATGAACGAGGGCAAATTTTTTCGTAAATTTTAAAATTCACAGCTCTAAATGTAACATTAGACGTGTTTTTAAAGCATTGAATTGCTTTCGACGAAGATGAGCCAAGAGCTTTCTGAAGGCATAACCCGAGGTTACATAACCCGATCAGAAAAATGTTTTTAGATGCGTCTGCGGTGTTCAGATACAGTCCGCGGTTCAAATGTTACTAAAAATAATAACTTAATGAGGTATTTGGATACCTTGGAGGGTATCCAGCCAATCACAGGATGTGTATCTATGACGTTGGATACCCTCTGATACTGTGGCTGTATTTTGATTGTGCAAGAAATGAAATAATCGTGAACCGCTCGGAAACTTCGTCTCATATTGCTAACAGCCGCACTTCTTCTAACGTAACTGAGTGAGTGATGGCCTTACATAATTTCAGAAGACGTCCTTGAAATAACACTTTATAAATAGTGTATTGGATGCCAATTAGAACAAGACTATTACGAAAAGGATATGTCCGAAGGGGCTGAAGTTATGTTCGGCAAAAGGTATGGCTAGTTTACATTGTTCGAGAAAATTTAGTAATATAGTGAAATATATGACCTCTCAAAGTTCATAAATCGCTATATTGACTAAAAACTATCGTTAGGAATTAGGAGATATTCTTTCAATGAACCGAACGGTAGTATTTTTGTTTTCATATCATTCACCTAACCGAAGATATTAATCTGTAAAGTCATATTGCGGCATTGCGCGTGCAATATATTATTAATTTAAATAGGGACCGGCCGAGAATATTAAATGTACTCAGTCACGAAAGTCGACTTTTCTATGTCAAAATGCCCCCGGCCACGTTTCATGAAATAGAAACTTGAACACTGATACCAAGAAGATTTATTGTGTGTTTTTTTGTTACTTTGTGTTTAAAATATGACCTTGTTAAGGCCAAATTTTAGGCCAGAATCATGGGCTCAGAACGCAGGAAATGGCATTTCCGGGCTTCAAATTTCAAAAAAATTCCGGGGAGGCATGCCGCTGTACCCCCCTAGTTATGCGAGACCTAGGAATATGATACGGTCACATTTTAAGCTAGATCCGCCCCTGGTATATTTGTACATACATTAAGGGCTATAGGAACCTTTAAGAAACCCTATCATGCTTTTATTCACAGCCCTCTGGTTTAACAATATTATAAAGAATGATTAAAGCTTGTTCCATCTTGCCAAAGACAAAGTAAGAGTATTTACAAATATAGTGATTTGAATAAATATATACAATTTACAAGAGTTTAATTATTATGTGAGATTACAAATGAAAGCCATTATGTATATTCCAAGAAAAGGATTTTCAACTTTTTCTTAAAAGTGGAATAAAACATAGTATTGCTAGTTTCTTTATCAAGAGAGTTCCATATTTTAACTCCCTTAATTATTAACAATAGTATGTTTTGCATAATTGGTTCTACTATAATTGACATGCAATCTGTTACAATCCGAGTATTGTAATGATGCATTTAATTGTTTTGTATGAAGTAGCCATTAAAAAATTCAGGTAGATTTTGTGAATGTTTAAAACGGTAGATAAATAAACAACTTAAATAGTCATTAATCTTAAATATATTCAAGATCTTCAATATTTGAATCAATGGTTCACTGTGTTCAAGATAAGATTTAAAATTCATCAATCTGATATTTTTTCTGTAAATTCAGTACTTTTAGCAGTTTTGTTGGGTATGTGTTTAACAAATATATTACATTTTCCCATTGTCTGTTCAGTTTTAGATACACAGTATGACGTCATATGTGGTAAGAACATAAAACGTGTCCACAAGCCGCCTAGGTGAGTGGTCACTTTTTGTTCTTACCACATATGACATCATACTGTGTATATATAACTGAACAGACAACGGGAAAATGTAATGTATTTGTTTTATACAATAAAATTGAAAAAAATTGCCACAAAATCCCCCAAACATTTAGAAGTTGAAATTTTGCAAATATCACGCGTACATGATCTATACAAATAACAAAATGCTATTGGCTTGCTTAAGTCGCATGCTGAATCCTGATTGGCTAAGCTTAGAATCCACTAGATGGTAATAAATAAGGAAAAACTAAAAATTCATCAAAACAGTGAAAAAACATTGTTTTAAAGGAATAAAAACTTGCGATAAAAAGGCAATTATTTTGCTCTAAGTGACTATGGCAATTGAAAGGCACTTAATCATTGCCTATGTTGCATGAAGTGAATTAAGAAACCAGCTGGAAAATGTGACATCAACAGAGTCAAACGACCAAAATAGTGACGTTTGTGATGTTACTC